GGCAGTTTGCTTTTTGTCAGTTCAATTAGCCTATTGTTTCAAACTAATTTTCCTGTCATGCATTTATCTTCTTCCAACTTGATCATTTAACGCCAAGTTAGACTTTTTTTCTTCCTTTCTTTATGAAAAAGAAATGTCGAAACAAAAGCATACATGGAAATAAAAACATGAGAAAAATAAAACCAAAGGCAAAACAAGAAAAGAGTATTCCAAGAGTTTGGAGTGAAGCTACAATAACCTTTGATCTTTCCTGCATATGCAATTTGTAGAGGCCCTTTGGATCTCTTCTTTTCGCCTTTTCTTGAGGTATATTCATGAAAATATCACAAATGAAAGCAACATCTTAAAACTAAGCAAGAGAAGTTTGAAAAAATAGGGAAGTGATTTATTTTCAAAGGATCATCAATGTTAAATATCTTCAATTCTGCAGCTACAATATTTTGATTAAACAGATTCTTGAAGTACTCATGGAATTAAACTAACAAATTTCTGCACGAAGAATATCATCCTTTATATGACCAAACTCACTTCTACGTCATGTAAGGAAATGGTGCCATCTTCAAGACCAACTGCAATTGCTTTACCATCAGGACGCCAACATATTGATGTTATGTTCTTTCCTAAAAAATAAAAATCCCATTAGTGGACACTGAAATTGGTTCCAACATGCCAATTTGACCGTGGAATATGATCAATTTTGACATTATGATGGCAATCTTACTCTTTTCTGCCCCTCTTATATCAGGAATATATCAAACCAGAGTACACCCCCACAATAAAATTATCCTAACAGCCAAACCATCATAAATAATCCTTTTGCTTTGGATTGGACTTAATAGCTGCAAATGGACGTGGTCGGGGATTAAGCCGACCACGGCATGAGGGCGAAGAGTCGTCTTAAGAAAGATTAGTGCCGAGGTCGAGCAAATGGAGTACGAAAATAACGATAGGATAAGTTAGAATAGAAAGAAGGAATATTCCGTTGAATAATCTTTCCGTTGTACTTTTTAAGGGTTTCTCAAGAATATCTCGTATGAATAGGAAGAGATAAAGAACAAAGAGGGGATCTTCACTTTTTGATAAGAGCACACTGTGAAGAGTTGACTAAGGAGAATATACAAAAGTTTGTCTTGTTCACTGATTACTTTGTTCGAAATACATTGTTCATTCATAAGATCCAAAGATTCCTTGTCTATCTTCGTGCTCTATCCCCCCCCCCCCCCCACGTTGTTTTCGGAAAGGAAGAATCATCCAAGTCACCTAACATTTGGGTGGTAAATCCTTTCTTATTACACTTATTGCCATTATCTACATTTATCGCATGTTCTTATTGTAACATTCATTGACAATCACTGAACACATATCTGATATTTATTATTCTTGAACACGGTCCCATATCATTAATGTACCCCAATTTTAGATCTCGAATTAATTACGTTTAACTAGGATTCATCCTCTATTTTATCATTAATTAGTTTAACAAAAAGCTTAACACTTTTTGGTCAAACAATTTGGCGCCGTCTGTGGGGAGGTTCTAGTTAAAATTTTAGTTTCTTCTAGATCATAAAAAAGGACAGCCATCTTTTTCTCGTTTGCACGAACTAACAATGGCAGGAAAAGGAGATGAAAGACAGAAAGCAGTAGTGGGCGTCACTGCCAACCTCTTGGACACCCTCAATGAGGATGACAGAGAAGACGTGGAGAATGTAATGCCAAGCGCTACACCCAGACGAAGTCACTCGCCGCCCCCTCATGGAAGTGTGACCGCTTCACGCGAAAGGGGAGCTTCCACGTCCACGGTTGAGGAAGCGCCATCAGCAGTAAAAAAAACTAGTGGAGGAATGGCTAACAAGTACTCTAAACAATAAACTCGACAAACCCGTTCAAAGGGCGAATAGAAACGCCGCACAAGCGGATACCATAGCAACCGCCGACGAGCAACCTGCTCCCCCAACAGGTAACACTCACACTGCTGTTGATGCAGGTAATGACGCACTTGCGGCCATTCTAAAGAAAATGGAAGAAATAGTGAACGAGAATAAAGCGCTCCGCGGCCAGATGAGGGAACATCAAGAAAGGGTTGATAAGATACCGGGCGCCCCGAAACTGCTACCAAAATGGGACGTCGGCCGGTTCGTTGAACAACCATACAGCGAGGAGGCAACCCCACATGCCATACCCAAGACCTTCAAGATTCCGCCATATTTGAAGATATACGACGGCACAACAGATCCCGAAGATCACATCATTCATTACGTCACAACAGTAAAAAGCAACGACCTCTCAAAAGAGCAGGTACTATCAGTGTTGCTAAAGAAGTTCGGCAAGACCCAATGGGGGGAGCCTTAACCTGGTACTCACAATTACCAGCACGTTCTATAACAACATTCGAAGAAATACCCGACAAGTTCGTCACCGCCCATGCCGGGGCTAAGAAGGCGGAGGCCAGGGTGAATGATATATTTGCCATTAGGCAATTGCCTGGCGAGGGACTCAGGGACTTCCTCGCTCGGTTTAACAGAGTAAGAATGAGCTTACCAAAACGTATCAGAAGGGATGGCGGTAGCAGCCTTCCAAAATGGGCTGAACAAGAATGGGTCGAGAGTGACTAGAAAGTTGTTAAGCAGACTCAAGAAATACCGTCCCCCCACTTGGGAAGAAATTCACAACGCCTATTGCACCGAGGTGAGAGCAGACGAGGACGACCTCCACGGTCCAACCCAACGGCTAACATTGGTCCAAACGGAGTCGAGGAAAGATCGTCGTAACGACGATCGAAGAGACCATTCAGGTCCACGCCTCAACCGAGATAAGCACCAACCATATGTCTGAACAACCATCCCACCATCTCCTCGCCATAGGGAAGGGTCGTCCAGGCCACACACAGGGACTCAACACACGAAAGAGGTATGCCTCCACTCTTATCTGCTCACAATTTTTGTGTTTCCCCTTCAGAAAAAGTGTACGCACTAGAGAAGCTCGACCCAAAGGTGAAGTGGCCACAAAAGATAAAGTCCGACCCAAGTACCAGAAAGTCGAACATCCTCTGTGAATTTCATTAGGAGCGGGGTCACAAAATCGAGGACTGCATAGTCCTACGGCAAGAAGTAGTGAACATTGTGACCACGTGATTTTTGCCCTATATGAATTACTCCCATAAATTCAAAACAAAATAATTTCTTTCAGTGTTCGCAATTTAGTGGATTTTCGTGGCATTTTCTGTTAATTGTTTGCATTTTGATTGCACATTTTAATTAGTGAAAGAAAATACAAAAATGTGTTGCATATGCATTTAGGAGTTAATTTTGCATTTTAGGAATTAATTAGTCATTAATTTTTATAAAAGGGAAAAGTCTCAAAAAATAGTTTATTTTAGTTGTAATTTTGAATTTAGGGTAGTTTGTCCTTTAATTTGGTTTAGTTAATGATAGTAATCAGGAGTTAATTGTTTTGTTTGTTGTTTAGGTTTTTATTTTAATTTTGAAACAAAAAAAAAAAGAGAAAAGAGAAAAGAAAAAGAAAAAGGAATTTTGATAATTTGTCTTAAAATGAAAATGGAATGAATGAGATTAAAATTGGGCCAAATTTTGGTTTCGAAACGCCCAGCCCAGTTTGAAATCCCCCAGACCCGGACAATTGGTCTCACACCAGCCCAAAGCGCTGCCCATACCCGGTCCAAAAATTATTGAAACGACGAAGTATGGTCAGGATACTACGTCGTTTTGGTTTCTGTTGATTTAAGTTGATCCTGGCCCTTTAATTCAATTCATCAAACGGCCAGGAACCCTTTTCCCTTTTTACTTAAAAATGTCCAAACAACCTCAGAACCCCCCCCCCCCCC